AAAGAAAGAACATACTCAAAAGATGTCTTAATCTTTCAAAAGGATTCATCATTCGAAAACACGAAAAGACTTTTGCTGTTGCACTTTGCAAAATTCTCCAGCAGTTAAACGGACAAGCGGCTTTCACAAACAAAAGATGACCCATCACAAGAAGGCAGTGAAGTACAGCAAACTCCAAACCCGAAAGACCGAGGGGTAGAGCCTCAACTGATGTAAATTGTAGTAGCACCACTGACTTCAATGAACGTATACAATTTACACCCGCTAAAGATCTCTCAAAATGTGCATACTGTAGTTCAAAATACCTGGTATTTCAGCTGACAAACACGCAACCCAACAAGAACACCTAAACAATTTGACAAAATACAAACCAGGTGAAAAAAAGATATTGAATACCCATTGTCAATAAATTACAATAACAGGCTAGCTTTTATGTTACTATATATAGAAATTATTCCTTCAAAATTATCAATAACTATCACAAGCAGAAATACATTTTTCCTAGTCAAGAAGTTTAGACTACAAAGCAATAAACAAATTAAACTTCAGCTGTTATACTGCCAAAATTTCCCACAAATTCCAACTGAAGATATGATCGCTAATGATTCACACCTAAAAGAGTCATCAATTTTCACTGAAGACACTCAGCTCTAGCAGATATTTCAAAGCAATATGAGTTTCTTTACATAGCAGGTTTGATTTGGTTTAGTACAAACTGGCAACTATACACCGATACATATTTTTACAAATTTTAAAAGATATTTATGAGTGCCAAGTGATTCGGTGGCATCAGTGGTAACTACTCTGTTGCAACCACTTGTCATGTAGGCTTGCACGTAGGGTCTGCCCAAGACACGCACTGCTCCAGCACCCACGGGGTGCTGCAGGTCAAGAGCTACACGAATGGGTACAAACGTGCAGGAAAAGTTTCAAGGCGTCTGTCTGTGGCAAGCTTATTTCAAGTCCTTTGCCATTAATAAACAGTGAATTCAAGTTAGTAATTTTAAACCTTTGCATAAATAACAAAGTTAACGTGTTAATGTCCAGTCTCAAAGTGCTATTTGTTTAATCATTTAGACAGCAGTACATGCACAGAGCTCTAAGACGGCCTAAGTAACCTGCTTCATTACTATGGACCCACATACGTTATGATTCACATGTTCTCTCTGAGTAACTAGATTAATTCAGGTTTTTTGTTGGCCACCGCAACACTGAACTTCAGTAACATCTATGGTTAGAAATCACATGAGTCAAGTAAAGGTTACAAGACTCTTACAAAACTTTTTGCTCATTCTTTTTTGGTTTGTGTAAGTCTAGTAAGTGAAATTTAATCTATGATTCCAATTCATATTCATTCTGATAGCTTAAAACAGCTTCCACACCAATGCCATCTTTATCTGTGTGCTGCCTTACACACCAACTAGGACAGTGAAAGCTCCTTTCACCTCTCTATTCTTTGCTTTTAAATACATACATCTAACAGCACGCTCAAGCTGACCTGTCGAATCGCACTACCTAGCAGAACTGCATTCTCTCAGACCAACTATTTAAAGAAAAATTGCCATACTTAATCAAATAAAAATTATTTCTCAGGTAGTGTCGCATTCTCTAACACTTCACAATCCAGGTGCCACAACTTCATCTACGATTTTATTCCAAAACGTTAACCAACAGATTTCTTACCTCATCATTGATGACCTCAGATTGTTCTTCCTCTTCTTCCTCCTCCAGATCCAAGTCATTTTGCCTCAGGTATGCTTGCAGTGGAACACAGTGTTTCTTCTTAAAAGCTAAAAAGTCCATCATATTCCCTTGAAGATGTTGCAGGAAAAACAGTTCAATCAAACATTCCTTAAAAGTTTCCTTAAGAATTTCCATCTGCTTGTGGTGATGATCCAAACATTGTTTTCTCATTTGAGCAGTCTCTTGGTTGGCAGGAGGAATCTCCTCCAACTTTTTGGGTTGTTTTTTCACCGTCGTATTAACTGTAGGAGTAAGAGGAAGACTCGACAGCCCCTGTGGTACAGTGGCTCGTGAAGGACTTGTGGGAGGAGGCGGTGATGTCATTCCAAACGCACTAGGTCCTCCAACTCCCGCTATCAATCCACCAGAAGTCCTGTCATATCCAATGGGTCTACCCAGCTGCTGTCCCTGAAGCACTTGCTGCTGTTGTTGCATAAGTTGCCCTTGGATAATATTGCTGATTTGGGGTGGCAAGCTGGTGGTCGTAATATGGCCCGGGCTAGTCAAAGATTGCATATTTGCTCCACTAGCTACAGGACTTTGAGGACCGAGATGATGAATGGTGCCACCAGACTGCGAATGAGGTTGTGAAAGCCTGCGTTCCCGTACCGTAGCAGGTGTCCCAGAAGATGGAAGCTGTACTTGTGCAGCAGCTCCTTGAGCAATTTGTGCAATTCCCGGTCCTTCTTGATACACGAAGTGTCCACCGTTTGAAGGACTCAAGCTGATTTGTCTCACAAGCACACTAGCATCTACGAATCCTCTAGTGGGGCTCTGGCTGCACATACCCAAGCCAGGGCCTGGAGTGCCTGCCCGAACATTTGGTAACGTTTGCACCGGCACAGGGTTAGGCTGTGTAGGGCTTTGAGACTGAACTTGTTGAGGCAGCGGTGAAGTAACTTGAATATACGATGGGGATCCATGCTCAAACCGCCTCTGCTGAGGACTGAACTGAAAACTCGGTGATGTTGGGTTTGGAATTGGCAACGGGGTAAGGGTTATCTGCTGGTTTCCTGAAGCCACCGGTCCAACGTTTTGCAGCGTGATGTTCACATTCTGCCCAGCTACTGGACTTCGACTCATTATAAACTGTTGTATTTGGTAACTGGGGGACTGGGGTGCAGATGGACTTGCAGAAGGTGCAAAAGAAGCTGCAGGTGACTGGGGCAAATTTGGCTGTTGCTCTTCTCCCTCACTGCCTGTGAAGGACCTGGACCTCTGGAGCTGGCGCTGGGCATTCTGAGGACCATTACCATGGTGCATCCTCACTGTTCTAGGTTTTTTACAGTACACGCTAAAGAAATACACAAAACCAGAAATTCAGGGAAGGTGAAAATATTTCTGCAACTGAAACTATTTAGTTACTATTCGAAAGACTACCTTATAGTAAGAACTCGGTTATCCTGTCTTTGGAGTTACTTAAAATGTTTTACGTCCTCAGTCAAATTATCCAAAACCCTCAGCACCACAAAAACTCACTTAAATCTCCCATACGTTTCTCCAGCTAACAAAGTGCTGTTGAATAGTTTTACAAATGATATGCTCCTCTTAGCTAGTTAGACTGACTTCAAATAATTAAAAAAAGTCCTTCTTCCCTTTCTGTGGAACTTCAAGAATCAACGGTCTCCAATATCAAAAGTATCTACTCTTTTTTGTGCTCATTATTCCCCATGTTTCAGTGCTTTTAACACTTAATACAATGTTCTTGATAACACAACAGTTGCTTAAAACGTACAGTACATTTCTTCAACAATAACTAAAAATATGATAAAAATGGACACAGACTATTCAACTTTATTGCTCTAGCTACTGAAGAAAAAATGCATCATGAAAAATCTCCCTACCAAATCATCTAGATGTTTGAAAAAGTATTGGTTTTGATACTTAACTCTGCCTTCTCTTTCCTTCAGGACACCAACCCCTTAAGGAGATGAAAATTAATCCAAAACTGCATTTCATTTAGAATGCCGTTTATTGAGCCGAGCTATCCAGAAATCCCAAAACATTCTGGTTTTATATTTCAGTCATTGACAAACAAAAATTCCACTGACGTGCACTGACAGGTAGATTCAGTGCTGGGTGTCACACAGCAGTAGCAGCAGAAGAAAAATGAACCCTGTTGGGTTTTTTTTTCCAAAATCTCTCTCATATTTTGAAAACGACAGTTTCATTTTTGGCATTCCAGGCCAAACACACATACGACTACGCTGCCACGCCTCTTTGCTCCCAACTCCGAGTGGGTTACAAGCGGCAACGGGCAGCAGCACATCCAACACGGCAGCACTCCTGGAAAGGGACGCGATGGAGCGGCTGCCTGCCCGCCCCGCTCCTCGCCCGTGGCCGAGGCAGGGAAACACAACACAACCCTTCCGCTCCCCCGTCCTGGGCTATCCGCAGCAATCTGCTCAAGCCCTGGGGATGGAGATATTCCCTTCCTTGCCCCCGGGAAAAGAGCCGGCTTCCCGGGAAGGCGAGGAAGCAGAGCAGCGCTGCCACACGCGTGCTAGCGGCAGGAGGCTGCAGGAGAGGAACGGGGCTGCCCGGGAGTGCGGGATCCCACACGGCAGGGAGGTACCGCGGGGCGCAGCCTGCGCGGGGACCGGGAGGCAGCGGGGACAGGTTTCCCTCTGCCGCTCCGCGGAGCTCAAATCTGGGGGAGAGCCCTCAGCAGGGCGGGAAGGAAAAAAAAAAAAATTCCGCTCCTTACAGGCACCTTTTCCAGCAGATTTAATAATACTGCAACACTTCGTGGTACGGCGACTCTTTCGTAGCCCTGGTACCGAATAATTAAGATCCCGGCGATATCACCTATCGCCAGTAACGAGGTCTTATTATTTTAATTACCTATACCTCGCTAACATTTACGGCCCAAGTGAAAACACTTAATTAATTACACGCTGATAAGGAAGCGTCACCAGCGCGCTGCCGGCCTCTGCCCGCCCGGGGAGAAGGGATCGCCTTTTGTGTGCCGAAGCCCAACTGCGCGAACGGCCCACGGGCCGGGCCCACGGCGACCGCCCAGCGCCCCAACTTCGCGCGGGGCTTCCCCCGCCGAGGCCCGCGCGGGAGCTCCCCCCCGGCAGGGGCAGCGCCCCGGGAAG